CATAGCAAAATTCAAATATTGAAACGTGAACAGCTGTGTGTGTCGTGAATAATGATATTCACGATTTTTTGATCCGTCCTTAATGTGCAATATCTATCTCTTATCAAATTATTCTATCTTATTTTTTGAATATATTGAAAATATATTATTTTTGTAATACATATCTCACGTCGTTTTATATAGCATCATTTCCTTTTATCTTATATTATGAAGATGTTATGATCTAACTAATATTATGAAGCTAAATTTGTTTTGGTTATTGTTGTTTGTGTACGTATAAGTAAATCGAACGTTTGCTGTTAATGCTCTGCTTCAACATATCCAACCGCACCACACGGTACACCTTCGCAAGAAAAGTCCCGCTTATTGGCATCTCGACGGGCTGGGATCGTCCAAGCAATCAAAATGTGATTTCTAAGATGACCATTGGCTACACAAATAATATCACATCAGGCTTATTCCAGCTGTCATTAAATAGTATTATGAGGAAGGCGTTTTTCGAGTCACCATTCAATAAGTTGACTCTACAGGATGAGTGGTCCAGGCGAACTTTCCAGACCTACCTGTAACTCCATAAGGCGATTCATGCCCTACGTTCGTGAAACAGGGATTGTTTTACAGGGATTTTTATCTTTTACAGGGATTGTTTTCTTTTTTTCATATATCAATGCAGCTAGTATCAGCACCTGTTACAGTTCCTCCTGCAACAAGCTAATAGTAAGTAAATATTCTCTTATGCGATATTTATATCACTTTCAGGGGTGATTTATATCATTTATATCATTCCGAGAGCTTGTTTCTCAGCCATGACATTACTAGGTTACTGCGTCAGGTTGTGCATAGATAGGTAAAGACTCCTATGAACCACATGCTAATATGCCTCACAATAAGGTTAAACTAATGTTCGATTAAGTAAAGTCAAAGCATAGTCAGTTCATGTCTACGTGAATTTGAACCAATTTGAGAAAGCTGAAAGCCAGGTTTAAATCGAGGCCAGTCAATCTCAAATGATGCCGAATCCGCTGAGGGCAACATCAACTCGAGCCAGCATGTGGTAAATTTCCAGTCGTGTTGTTTCAAAGTTTTGGCTCATTGAGCTTATAATACAGTTACAGTCAAGCTGAGTCAAATAAATTTAATGACAAGCTAAGTTAAATATCAGCAAATGTGCTAATCTCATATTCATGCTAGAGTCCCAACATTGATTCACGTATTAGAGTCCACATTGGGGGGAGGGGGGAATGATGGGTTGCACAACCTGAGAGAAAAGCTCAATTAGGTGGGATGGGCCATATCTATATCCAATCCAAGTCCCTAGCACTAGCTCCCGAGATAAGCGGGTCATTATGTGCCGCATCTCTCCTTCGCCTTACCCACATCCCTTACAAAAAGGTTTACAATGTTGACAAAAACGATTAATGTGCAAAATGAATAAATAAATACGTAATGAAAACATTCATGACAGTTTGTCGCAATGAACATTGATATATTTATACAAATGAATTAATTCACAATATTAAAAAATAAATAGAAAACAAAATCCAATAGGCAGTAATCTGAGTCAGAATTCAAATTGTTTCAAATGGGATTCTTTCATTCATAACTGAAAAAAAACTTTGGTTTCAGTTTAGTTGCTGAAGTGCGCTAATGTTTGGTACTGCATTAGCTGTGGTACTTCATTAATATTTTATTACCATTAGAATTCACCCAATATATTTGGTATGGAATATTGGTAACCTGTGAGGCCAAATTATCATTTACAATCGTATTGAATCGCTCGGATTGTATTGAAATGAACTTGGGGAAAACTACGAATAATCATTTAATACTGTTGCAGACCGGAGGTGATCGAGCGAACAAACCGTGACAGTTTCAACGATACTATCACTGGTCATCACCTCAAATCAAAAGTAAGGAATTGAATCATCTCTGTGGTGGTTTAATTTGTCAGTTGCTGATATGAAATGACTTTATCGTCAATCAGTCTTGTTAATTTCTCTTGATCTGGCAGGAATCTACCGTACATTCGGTAAGTAAAGGTATCGTGTGAACATTCTCTGTTAGATATGTTAATGTATAATACAGTTGTGTGATAACAGACACAATACTGATTGAGATGTAGGTATGTAGCAATGCGATACATTTTGACAGCATTGAACCGTCATCCAATTCGAGGCAGACCTAGACTGCATTATCATCCGATTCAATTTACGTCTACCACCGATTCATTATGACGATGGTTGAGGGCATCCATAAACCGCAAAGACCAAAACAAATATCAACATTGGAATGCATGAAGTTCGAAATAGGTACTGGGCGCTGTGGCGAATCGTTTTGTGCTGACTATATCGAACGTTGTGAGGAAATGAATGGAGAATGAATATTATTGCAGCAGCGAGGAATGAGAGCGAAGCAGAAGTGATGTGAGTAGAATGCGGAATGATTAAGTAAGAATACGGTCGACGACATACACACTTGAGAGTAAGGAAAGGTTATGAAAATAAAGTGTGAAAATTGACAAGAGGATTCGTTAAATGTGAAAATTGTTCTCAGATAGCGTACGATTGTCCCACTCAAGCTCTTTTTGAATATTCTGCCGTCATTCATCAAGTCTAAACACAGTACTGCTTTTATCCTTTCATTGCATTATATCGCTATTTGGGCATACTGCTATCTGCATTATCACTTTCATGTTTTTCGCATTCACTTCTGTCCGTTTTTAATTCCCTTTTAATCTCACGGTCAGTCTCATGAAGTTCATTCGCTACTCGGTTCTACAAATTCTCGAAAGTTGCAATGATTTGTTGAAAGATGTTCGGCTAGAGCATGACGAAATTATCTTCATTTTACGTGCGTAATACCCATTTAGTTCTCTCCTAAACAACTTTATTTTCTCGGACTTTTTCAGCAAACGTGTGGATTTCGATGTCTTCTTGTTAGATCAGTTTCGAAATTTTGATTTTAACTTCAGCGTTAGCCATTCGAGAATAATGCCAAACGTGACGGTGAAATGGGGTCGAGAGAAGTTGAACGTTGATGCGGATCTGAATGAGATGCCACTCGTTTTTAAATCACAGTTGTTCGCTTTGACGGGTGTTATGCCGGAACGACAGAAGGTTATGATTAAAGTAAGTTGCATTTATTGTTTTGTTTGATGAAATGGTTTAGTTCATTGTCAGTGACTGCCATCTGGAAGATTTTTTTCATTGATCGAGTTTTGTCCCCTTAATATAATTCGTTCAGTTTTTAATCATATAATGAGTATCATGCAACGGTGCCATGAATCCAACTATAAATGCATGTATGGAAATAACATCTCGAAACCGTGAATGTACTCGGAAGATAACGGTGTTGATTGATTGTTACCTGTGATAGTGTCAGTGGAAGATACGTTCGTTTATAATATTACAACTGTTTGTCATTCTTATGACAGGGTAAAATCCTTGGTGATGATAATTGGAATGGTATAACATTACCAGATGGCGCGGTCATTATGATGATGGGTAGCAGTGATGCACCACCAAAGGCACCCACCGTCAAGCCACAGTTTCTTGAAGACATGACCGAAGCTGAGGTGATTTAGAACTTATTCAATTTTGCTCATTTTTCTGAGTTATCGTTGGAAACGGTTTTACCTAATTCATTTTTCTCTCTCTTCCACTCTGGTGAGAATCATGAAGTAGTACTCATTCACTTCAAAGCGTCTCATGAAAACTGCTTATATCAATTTGACAATTTTCTCTTATCAGGTCACCTTAATTGAGTGTGTTATTGTCATTAAATCCAGTTCTGAAAGGTTTTTCTAGTTGAGACAAATCTCCATTTGATACAGATTGATAATTTCAAATCGATCAAATTTTGCTAATGTTGGTCACATTCAGGCAGTAGCAGCAGTAAAACTTCCAGTTGGTATCAAAAATCTCGGTAATACTTGTTATATGAACGCTACACTGCAATGCTTTAAGGTACAATAAAATTTGAAATATTTATATCATCTGAATTCTCATTTCCTGTCATTTTCATGTGTTCATTTGAAGTTTTCGAAGACAGCTTTTCCATGACCTCTCTAATTTTTTCATCCAAGTAATTATAATCAACAAAGTAATTCTGTTTAAGTGATTCGTTTATTTACTGAATATGAAATTATCAACTTGAATGTGATGAATTTGTAGACCATCCCAGAGCTGACAACTGCATTAAATAAATGTAATGTATCAATCGATTCGGCCCTTTCATCATTAGGTGCGGATTCAAGTGCGAAATCCTTAACGGTTGCAGTGAGAGATCTGTACCGTATGATGGATAACACAAATACAAGACGTACATCCAGCGTTATACCACTTGTCATGCTGCAGGTTTGTTTTTATTTCATTTTGCATTCATTATCTCACATTCGTACGAATTCCTCTCGTTGCATAAGGCTAATTTATTTGCGAATTCGTCCTGTTGCAAATTTTTAATGGAAAATATTTTGTTAGGGTGCGAATCATTTAACGGAGCTTGCGAAAGCTATGAATGGAATAGAAACTCGTGAATTGGAGGAGATACGCTGGGGTTACAGTCTCAACTGGACTGTGACATTCAGAATTTTTTGGCTAGTTGCGGTTGTTGAGTTCAGTACGTGCTCAAGTATTCACGAAAATATCGTGAAAGACATACGCAAATAAACGTAAATGATTGATCGTTTATGGAAAATTAGATATTTGCATGCAGTGCATCACTGAGGTTCAGGTACTGCATCATGAGTTGCCACAATTCGCAGCACGTGACGATCATGGGCAGTGGATGCAGCAGGATGCAAATGAATGCTGGACTGAGTTGCTACGTGCTTTCCAGTCACAACTGAAATTGCCGAAAGGTTCATTTGATCATTCCATTTCATTCGTTTGCATCTCGTTCTCATCCGCATTCACTCTTGAATATTTTTGTATCAGGTCTTCGCCTTTCCTATAACTCCGTTAATTGACGTTTTTTAACAGCCTTCTTTTTCACAAGGTTCCACTCACAGCAGAAAATTATTTGTTTTTCATTTGAACAAATACCTCCCCGTAACGGTTATTGGAACTTGTAATCTCAAGAATAATTCTCTTTCGATGTTTTCAGAAAGTTATAAACTATTCTAAGAAGTGTTTCTAAGGAANGATTGATTCGATTAGGCTGTTCAGTTTCTTATATGGTATCCATTAATGAATAAAGTGAATCCTAATGAAATTCTGTCGATCTAGCAGCGGCAGCAGCAGACGATGCTGACAATTCAACGATACCGTTTGTTACTAATTACATGGAAGGAAGATTCAAAGTGCAAATGAAAAACCTCGAATCAGATGTCGAACCAGTTGTTACGTCGTCTGAGAAATTTTTACAAGTAATATTTTTTTTGTAAATAACGTTATATATTTGCTCTCAATTCTGTCTGAAATATTTTGTTATGAATTAATGAAGGCAGTTATTGAAGACAAATTGATTTGTTGAAGAGTTTTGTTGAAATGCTACAAAAAGGAGCGTGAAATGATTAAGTAAAATGTAAGGGGGTGATGAATTCGAGGAATCGATGTTTGTTATTAATCAGTCGTTTACTTTCAGTTGAGTTGTTTTCTTGGCCACGAAGTGAAATACGTTCAGTTGGGTATAAAGAATAAGATGACCGAAGAAATAGAGAAGAACTCGGAATTGTTGGGACGTAATGCGCGTTATGAGAAGAAAACGCTGATTGATCGACTACCAGCCTATTTGTCTATACAAATGGTGCGATTCTTCTATAAGGAAAAAGACAACGTAAGTGCATCTGTATTGCATATATGAGTGCAGTCTATATATTATCATAATTTTGTTTTATTATCTCCAAGCAGTTTTCAACATATCATTGTTTATTTTTTATTTCAAGCAATATATTTTATTTATTGTTTCGGTAAATGATGGAAATGATGATCACCTTAAACTGTTTCAGGTGAACGCAAAAGTTTTGAAAGATGTGAAATTTCCGATGAGTTTGGATGTGTACGATATGTGCACGCCGGAATTGCAAGCAAAGCTGTTGCCGATGCGAGAAGCATTCAAGGTTTGAATGTATTCGACGCTTTGCGAAAGTCGTATAAATTGTAATCATATGTTGATGATACATCATTAATCTTACCGCGAAAGTAATTGTGATCAGAAATTTGTTGTCAATTTCTTTTGATGGCGTTGTTTTATTGCGAACTGAACATTGGAATTGCAGAAAGAAGACGATGATAAACTGGAAAAGTTGCGAGCATCGAAAGGCGGCGAAGACACCACTGCCAATAATAAGGAGGATGATCCTTCGAATGCAGCGAAAAAGGAAGATGAAAAGAAGAGTATGCCGTACAGCTTCGAAGACGATCCTGGATCAAATAATAGCGGATTCTATGAACTTCAGGTTCGGATGTGTTTGAATAATGGATTGTTGCAATGTTACTGCTGAATAGTCAGTGGCACATATTTGGTGTTAATTTATGTGTTTAAGCGTGTTGGAACTGTGATAAGTTGTTTAATTGAACGTTTGTGATTGTACTTATTGCTATGAATGAAAGTGAAGTGTTGAAACGAATACAAATTTGAGGGTGTCATAACGCATAAAGGTCGTTCTTCGAATAGCGGTCATTACGTGGGATGGGTTCGAACGGAGGGTGATCACTGGGCGATGTGCGACGATGATGAGGTTTGTGTTTTGGTTAATTGCTGTCTAATTTGTGCGCATTTATTACCTCTTTTCATTTCATCATTCCGCTTATGCGCATTTGGTTGATATTTCTGCTGGTTCAGTCATGACTTAATTTAATCGCTCATTTCATTCGCTGATTCATATTTTCATTTTTCGCTCAGATCAGATATCAGTACTTTCTTTTGAATGCCACTGATGTGTACGGTCGATCTGAATTGGTGACGTATTTTTGGTTTTTTTTGGAATTTTGTATTCAAAATCGAATTTTTTTCTTCTCCATGTTCTTTAAATATTGAATCTGAAAAATTGCTTTCTTCAGGTTCATCCAGTGCCAAGCGAAGATATTTTGAGACTGTCAGGTGGAGGCGATTGGCACTGTGCTTATTTGCTTCTTTATGGTCCTCGTATATTGAGGAAGTGATCAAAATTTCATGAAAGTGTTTTCAGCGGAATTTATTTTGGGATACTTCATATCACTTCTGATTGATTCGGTTTTGTTTATTATCAGCATTCATCTCTCATCTGTTCGGTTGTATGCAAACTGGTACTATTATTTAACTGAATGTGAACGTGTGTTATGTTGTTTTAATTATCCATCTTTGAAAAGATTCTCCATTCCACAATGGTTATTTGAATGACTACTGATTCAATACTTCAAATGCATGAAGTATTTGTGAATTGGCGAAGAGAAGTCCGGAAATATTGTTAATAGAAGATGGAATTTGGATCAGTTGTTGTGTTGTTATTCGTTTCCAAAAATTTTCTGGATCTAGGTACAGTAATATGGTGTTGTTGCGGGTGGTTTTATGATGACTAAAAGCAATGTAAAATTATACATTTCCTTTCATTCGCTTGCTGATTTAATTCGCATCACCGTTTTCTTGAGTGAATGCAATTGTCTAATGAATGACAACCTTTTATGATATTGTTATTCGGAATATTGTTCTCAAACCAATGCGTATTGATGTCAGTATTGGATCTTGTCGTTTTGCTGAGATGAAGTAAATTTTTTCACCAAGAAAAAGGATATTCGAGTTTGATTTATCGAATGCACTAATATGGTCGATTATTCGGTCGTGCTCATCGATAGTATTTGCTTATAAAGTTCTCTTTTTTTTGTTTTGAGAATGGTTCCACAAGCAATGGTGTTGCGAATTATGTGCATATGATAGGATGAATATGGACTGCGATTGACTGTTTTGTTGATTGACTGATCAGTGATTTTGTAACGGTGATATTTGAAAGTGTTCCGAAATAAATTGCTTTTTGGTTGTTGTTTTGTTCAACTATTCTCGTCACGAATCCTTCATATCAAGTTTGAATGCTTCACGAAAGTACCTTCTTCAGTCCACGAAAGTACCTCCAATACGTAGTCTTAAGACTAGGTATTAGAAGTTGCTTTTCGTTCATCCATTCAACTGTTCTTGTTGATAAAAAAGTTAGATTATGGCTCGTTGATGAATCATTTGCAGATGTCTTCAGCAGAGAAGGATGTGGATAGTAGTGCTAAGGGTGGCTGGTTTAATCCAGTACCAACAAAAGCATGGTGGCATACAGTTTTACTGCATATTCTGAAAATGGGACCAATGCCGAAACATATTGCGTTCATCATGGACGGAAACCGGCGATATGCACGTTCGCATTCCTATTCATCGGTTTTAGATGGACACTCAAAAGGTTTCGAGCAGTTGACGAAAGTATTCGTTTGTTCAAATCGTCCTTAATTTCATCCATTTCAGCCTTTTTCTCTTCTCATCATATTCTTCGTTTTCACATATTAATCATGTTTTCGTTACCATTTCATCAACACGTTGTACTCGCGGTGCTTCCAAATTGTATTTATACGGGATATCGTTGAAATTATACAACGAATTACCTATTCGTATTCGGTCATTTCGCAAGAATTTCTTTGATATTCGTTCTTGAATTTTACTTCTGCTAGCTTCATCAGATATGATTCTCGGTACAACGCAGTGATAAACGTAAATAAGTTTGCAGATATTAGAATGGTGTCGTTTTTTATGTGTTACTGAAGTGACCATCTACGCCTTTAGCATAGAGAATTTCAAAAGAAGTGAAGAGGAAGTGAACGGTTTGATGAAATTATTCGAGAATAAACTTCATAAATTATTTGAAGAAAAGTCAGTATTCCCTTGAATTCATTTGCAGTTACCAAATTGTTCCTTGCTCTGGTTTATCTTCATTGATAAGCGCGAAGGGCTGATGGTAGTACTTTTATTAAGGATAATAACCAAATGACGGATTAAAATCGGTTCAACATTAATTGCTTTTAGACTGATTAATGAAGAGATAGAACGATACTGAGGAAAGAATTTGAAATATTACAGCTTAATAATCTATCATCTGTCACTTTAAGGGAGAAGTTGGCCGAGAAAGAGATATCGGTGCGTTTTTTCGGTGATCTTTCTTATTTGCCAGTTGGGATTAGAAAATTGGCCGCACATGTGGAATTGTTAACGAGTTCATATAAAAAGTAATACATTTATTCGTTCATAGTTCTGTTGAACCATTAGTTTCGTTTAGTCGTCATATTTATCTGTGTATTAATGTCGAATATTCTTCGTAATGTTTTCCATTTTCGACATCATATGTATGTTCATAACGCATCGTGCAGTTGCATTTCATTTTTGAAATATCTTTACGATCGAATTTCAAAAGAAAAATGTAACAAATGAACCGATTTAAGGCATATAATAAACGTTTGTGTTGCATACACAGCACAGGACGAGATGAGACGTGCTTTCACGTCGATCAGCCGGGGTGTTCAGAAGGGTTTATTGGACGAAGATGACATCAACGAGTATGTGATATCGAAATGTTTGGATAGTCGAAAGTCTGCGCATGATCCGGATTTGTTGATTCGAACTAGTGGTGAGAAACGGCTCAGTGATTTCCTTTTATGGCAGGTGAGGAGATTGAATCGCTTTTTCTTCAATACGATTGTGTTCTTTACTCCTTCGAACCAAATGCTTCTTTGTTGATCGAGTAGTTTACAGACTGCACCGTTAATTTTCTGAGTTCAACATTTCAACAAATCATTTTCAGTGTTCCAGTTGCTATATTCATTTTGAAGATGTTCTATGGCCCGACTTTGATTTCTGGCATTTATGCAAGGCAATATTCGGTTATCAGTACAATTTGAAATATATACAGGTTGTATTTCTTGAAAATAATACTTCAAGTGAAAATTTTCGTATAGAATTTAAATCTATTCGTTGAAACTAGATTCGATGGCTTTTGAATGCTTGCTCAATCACTTAACCATGATTGACGACCTGAATTACCAAATTTCATTTTTTATGTTGCAGAAAATCAACGATGAAAATGATGAATTGTTAAGTGATGAACAAAAAATGAAGGTGGATGGATTTGTGCGTTGGATTGAAGACGAGCACACCGACCATTTACAACAAATACTAACTTTGCGGGAATAACTGAAACGTCTTCAAATAATCTTATCCCAGCAACAAATTCCGAATGTTTCATCAGCTAGTCATTCAATCTAAACTGCTCCATGTGATCTTCTCATCGTGAATGGCTGCATATCTAAACTAAAGAATGTTCATTACTCCATTAACATGACCTCTTCCAATTTTCTTCCTATTTACTGAATTTCCTTGTTGAATTTTCTACATTAACATCAATTTTTCGATAAAGTTTGTGACTTTTCCTTTGAAATTAGTTGTGATAATTCGAACAAACGGCGAACATACGTGATCGTTGTTTGCAAATTGATTTTGATTTATACAGAATTCGACAACTTTTTGCATCTGACCATTCGAGAATATTAGTTTATGGATGAGAAAAAAGTCGATGTGATAGTAGTAAAAACGGACACATAACGTTGTGATAAATAATTTATTGAACGATGACCAGGTGTATTCACGGTTCTATAAAACTTTGTGATTTCATCTCTAAACTAAACACTCGCTTTTTTTTATCGCGCGACAAATATCACCGAACTAAAATTACTGGTTAGTCTGTCGTTATTGACACCAATTATTTTTTTCCATTAGTCGCTCTTTGATTCCACCGCTTTAAACGCTGTGATATCGATTTTAAAAATGCAGATGGCAACCAAAACGCACAGAAGTGTACTGCAGTAACTATTAGACAACATTCGATGTGTGCAGTTATCATTGCAGTTAGTTCGGATGTCATTTGTTTAATTATAGTCGTTTAATTATAAGCGCGAGCACAGACTCTCGTCAACGATTACCGAACATAAATGGTTAACTCGCAATATGTGAAGGTATTTGTTTGCAAATTGAAAAATGCATTTAACAGTTATAACGAAATTGAACAAACAAAGCAGAAAAAACAATTTATTATATTCCATATCACAGATTACGTTTTAGAAAAATGCAGTTCGCTGCAAACGAAAACAAAATCAACAACGAAATGTTACTTTCACTATGGAAACTAGAGTCATAGGGAAGTTGATGATCATTTAAGCATTTGATATGAACTGACATTAGAGGCCTTCACGTACACACATACTTGAGACAATATGATACAGGCAATTTCTACTTGCCATTCATTCCATTTGAAGAGGAATTTCAACGAATTAGTGATACTCTTTTCGAGATTCGACAGAAGTAAGTAACTATATATAAGATGTCACGAATTCAAATCACTTATAATGCAGTGTTCATTTTAAAACGACAGTCGGTCAGCCAGTCTTATAACATTTCATGACAGAATAAGTATCGTTCGAATAATCGTCACGAAATCATTACGGTTCGTTAGTGATTGGAGTTTGTTTGTGTGCTAACCACAGGAATGCGATACTAATCAGTGCCGATATTAGAAACATAACGTCGAACCATCGATGATAGAAATTGAATTGTAAATCGCCCAACACTTCGGTGATTATTGACCTCAAGTTGGATCGGTTATTGAGCACAACTTTGAAAGTTTTATTAAATAAAGTCTTGCTGTGACTTGTAAATGTGGCAACTTGATGATAAGATACGTAAATTAATCCAAATTTAATACCGCTAAATGATAACGATTACGTCATTGTCAATAACTAACTGATAAGTAATAATTAGTTCGCTTGAAATTAACGCCATTCAGACGCAAACAATATTTTCCGTGATGAGTTGGTTTATTTTCAATGATCATACATACCTGTACTCGTGTGGCATATTCATTCGCATCAGTAAAACACTTGAAACGAAATACATACCCTGAACAGAAAAGAAACATTTAGATTTCGACTCAACTCAATTTCAAAGCACAATTTTTCCTCTTCATTATCGACAAAAATTAATTGTTCACGTTGATAGCAATTCAAATGCACACATTCGAAGGATGATGCACAAATTTTAATTATAACAAGATTCTTATGTTCTCGATGAACAACCATATCAGTGCTCAACAGCAATCTACATATCTCATAAGCTGAAGGAACATTTATACACCCGTTCCAAATCGTATTTTTTCTGATTATATATCATTACACAGCTTTTTTTCAGAACGAATAAATATGTCATTACGTAATGGATAAAGCAATAGGGCGTTTGATTTATGAAATCACGACCAACGAGTTCACAAGTGCACTTGTAATAAAATGAAATAGGTATTCATTAACCAACAAAATACTAATCAACAATCATTTCGGAGAACAACTGCATCATAATCATTCAAAAAATAATCATGCTTTACGAGAGAACTGCTTCTTATGTATGTTCGTGAAATTATCTGCTTCGTGGAAGTGACGAAGAATAAGGGAGGAATGAGTTTAGAAAATCGATTGAATATTGAATATTTAGATAGTTTTAATGAATGATATAGATCATCTCGTGCAATCTCCTCATTTTCAACAATTACTAAACAGAGTTATGATAAGCTGACTGAACGAGAATAAGGAACGAACGGATACAATCAAAAACTAACCATAATTTGCGCAAGAAGCAAAACGATAAGATTCGACGATTTACTACTTGAGATCATATAGAAAAATTTTGTTAACGTTATTAATAGGCCACGGATTGATGTCACCACTATCACTCCTACTAAAAGAAATGATATGTGTTGCGACCAGAACCTCACCTAAAATTCCTTATTTTATTAATATTAATACCCTGTTGTTTTCGACTTTATTATTATCACCATTTTAGTATGACTTTCCTATCAAATGCCCACATTCTCCTAGCTCAAACACTGAAAACGTTTGTTTGCTTGAGAGCATCTTAAGATAATTCGCATTCAATATTATTTCAGTATTCTCTCATCTCACACAAAACAACCACCAATAAAATCGAAAAGGATCATCTTGAAAGTTTGCATGATTGCTACATCACTCAGATATATTAGTAAAATGAATAAGAAAATGACTAACGTCAAGTTGGAATCCCATATACTTCACAGCAATTTCAATTCCTCGCGTGACCGGATCAACTCTGCCAACGCGGTCAAAAACAATATTGATCGTACAAATAAAGATTTTCCATATGCAATAAACCGAGAAAAAATGACCCATTACATTGAAATATTGTCCTTGCCACGTCTTACTGTATTCCAGCCGATCCTCAAACCGTTGATTCATTATTTCAGAACGAACCACGCAAGTTTATTGCAAAATGAATGGAATGAAGAATAAAAATAATTTTAAGGAAGGTTTTTCACTGTTTCAGAGACACTGCGACTGATCAAACAAGAAGAATATGATCTCACTAAAGATCCAAAATTATTATCGTTTACAGACTTATCACTCATCGAACAAAAATCCTCTATAACGGTAAATTCGCATCTTTAATGCACCATTCTCAAGTACTCATCAACATCTGTCATATTGTTAAGGCACTGTCAATGTATCGCAAATAAACTTACTCTCATATTTCTCAATTCAACGATTTCAAGAAATAAGTATCGGCTCAACTCCTCCAAAGGAACAATTTCGACATACAAACAACTGCAAATTACCGATTCATTATATAAACATTCCAAATCCACTGCACAAATCACGCAACAACGATCAACTGCGTGTTGCTTCTCTACTTGAAATTTTTACTACTTGATTCAGAATTAGGAGTGCAAGTGTAGGAGCATACTCACCAATGATTACATACTTACTGACAAAACTCATTTTCAACCAGAAAAAGTCGCATGAAAAGAAATGCAGTCTTATAATGGAGATGAAATATTCACCTAATCTGATCCTTCAGAGAATTGGACGAAAAAGAAACAGAGCCCCAAAGACGTTGGAATAAACCGCCCTCGTCACCACCTGAATTATAACTGTAATCATTCTAATGAATATTTTAATAACTATGAGAATAATCTTTGTTGACGTCAACGGAAATTTCGATGAAGTGATGATGACCTCTCTACGAAAGGTGATGTAAAGAGAGCATTGGATAAGCCAATGCCGGACATCCCGCAACTTACAACGATCCAATATCGCTAAATACCGTCTTCGTACATACGGTACATATATACTCATCAGCCAGTTCAAGGAATGTTTGATTTTAAAATCAAAAATGTTGGCATCGATCAAAAGACGAACCTCTAGTAAAAGCGCTTCTCGCGAGTTCGCGTTCGATCATGCAAAGTCGTTTCTTTTTGGCGATGATCATCTCCATCGTATGCATCAATTTACGTTCCATTTGTGCAATATGTACCGCGCCAACCGGTCGCATAAATATAGTCATGTAACAGTACGGGGCATTCACCGCACCAAAACCCGACAGGATTGCCATCACGGTCACACCGATCACACCGACACGAGATATCGCTTGCTCGATCGAGAATATCCCTCAAATTTTCATTCCATCCACCATGAAGCTCTTTTTTTTGGAGTATAACGATAGCCATTTAAGTAGGGTCGTGAATCGTCTGGGCTGATTAATTCGTTGATTTGATGCAAATTTTGAACAGACTATGCCATGAAAATAACAGATGGATATCAATGCGGGTTACATAAAATTACAACAAGATTACAGAAATTGATTAAGATGAACCATGCTTTGCGCTAAGTATCGGGAACGGATCTCCAGTTTTCCAGAAAAAATAAATGAATATCATCCACGAAGTCATTGTCAGTGGTAACAGCCACTTACGACGAACTGAAAAATTTTGCTCTGAGAAGGTATAACTGCATTCATTTTTCGAATACCATATGTAAAACTAAATTTCGTGTTAAATGAATATCAGTGCAAAGTGAAAAACAAAACAAACAACTTAAAATGCTTCCGCTTCAAAAAAAGACGATAATTCATGAATTATTATGCAAAAGTACAATGCCAATTGATAACGATTACCAAAATCTGCATCAAACTCACCAAACGGAAGTGATGTAAACACTGAATAAGAGACGTATATGGGCAGTGCAACAATAAGTACGAACAAAATCGAATATAAACCCAATTTCCAATGTAAAAATCTCGACCTGAAAACTGCTTTCAACTTTTGAAAAATTTCGTTCGTTCATTCTATCCCACAAAAATTATCACACGATGAAAGATTTAAATAAAATATGACTAGAAATTAAATGTTATGCTAAATTAATGAAAAATTTCAAGAATTTCGCATAACGATAAACTGTTTTAAGCACCCAATTCTAGACACCACAATTTGAAAACAACAGCCAGTATCTTCAAGCACTCTGCCGTGAAGGTAGAAGAGAAAAGAAATTAAACTCACGTTGGTTCTAAAACACCGAGGATCTCGAAGATGATCAGTTCGAACATCGTACACGACAACGCGAATGTTATCGAGAACAGTATCTGCACCATACGTTGATGCACTTCGTAATCACGGAATAATTGCTTCATAAAAAACAGCCAACCCAACAAAAAGAACACCAACTGCAATTTGTTGCGGTTGATCACCTTCGCAAAAAAAGGTGAATAATAAAAATTTACATTTCCGAAAATAAATAAACTCGAAATGTATTCTGAAGAAAATACCTGAGATGAAAGCATAACAATGCAATCCCACACAACAACAACCATTATGCTGAATAAATAAATTACTTCAAGAGTAATATTGAACACGATTCACACACGACTCATAATCCAATACTGATGAGATTGTTCTTCCCGAACCGAGAGAGCCGAAAAGGATCTGAAAAGAAGAGCAAAGAAAAATTACTAATCAGACTCCTCACATAAATTTTTCCGTATAATGCGCTTGTGAACGTTTAATTCATTCAGAAATACGATTTACGAGAATTCGGATAAAAACGTGAAATTCTCATTTTGATTATTATATACACTGGCAGTACATTAACAATTACTGTCTTGTTGGACTAGTTCAGATTTCCAACTTTGTTGATATCGTTGATCACATTAGAAGATTGCTACCCAAAGGAACTCGAATTGAATTTTGAGGTGGTGGAACAGAACTATAGTTGGAGTTACGAAGGCAGAGCTGCGATTGCTGTTTCAATCGCTACTTAAGCAACTCAAGTCGCGCATCATCATGGATGAACGGATTAATGAATTCACGAATTCATCAGCATTTAATTAAAAGAGAGGACCGATTAGTTCAGTCTCCAGAAATTACCCTCTTTCAAAGCTCTGCTCATAGACTTATCCCACTGCCATGTTCCTATTTGGCTTCTCTTCATAAATAAAGTTGCTCTGAGGAGTCATACTGGCTACACGTATACTGGCTACATCACGACGACGATTCAATATGCACTAACAAATCAATAGTAATAATAATAATATCAATAATGAAAACAGCACTAATAACAAATTTCAAAAAAAAACAGAAAAATTACACTGACAAAAGCAATAACAAATAGAGTTCCAACTTCATCCTTGATGTCATGAAAATGTCATCAATAGAGTAAAAAAACTGGTTTCACTCAGTATTTATGCACTCATCCCAATATGAGCTCACCGAAACACACGCCATTAAAGGGATGATGTCTGAACACTCTACGAATTTTATCGATAAACAACACCCTGCTTTGTCCCGAAACAGCACTGTACCTATCAAAACATCCACGCTGATTGGGAAATGAATTCACACGTCATTCATAAAATGGAATGAAAACCTTCCTTCCACCCATCCATCCTCCTCATCTACAAAGCGCCACCGCTTTGCTTTGTGCATAACGACATACTGCGAACGATTGAGGCGAAACGTTCAACACAGACAACTTTTTATATGTTTTCAGTTTGAATGTTTCTTAGTTGGTATCGTTGCAGTGAATTTGAGACGGTTCCGTTGAGTGGACGTACCAAATTCGCAATAATCGAGCGTATGTGAAGCGACATATAAGTCGTATCCGATGGATTATTCACATACGAAATCATCACGTTCATTCACTCATTGCATTTTCGCTCGTTTACTTATCGCTCACAATGTATTCGCATTCGATCGCTTTCAGTTTTGCATCAATCTGCGTTCCATTTGTTTCATTCGTTCTGGATTTTCATTCTCATCAATTGATTCTTTATTAGCACTTTTTTATCTCTGAACGTGAGCGAAATGATTTAATTAATACATTCGCACATTTACTCAATACTACTGAAACAACAAAAAACACTCCTGAAATTGAATAAAGTACTCCAGGTTTGAGATCGAGTCTCGGAAGTGTGACAGGGAAGAAATTGCATCTGGTCCTTTCAATTTTTGATTTGATTAATATTAATTTTTCATTTAGCGAGCGGAAAAATTGTTTTATTGTCAGCTCAAAATTTATGTGGTTTCATTTTTTCCACTTATTAGGTTTTTTTGTTTCTTTATTTCTGTTTCGATTCATCGATCATCAGCGTTTGTGAAAGAAATTTCGAAATTTCCGGTTGAGTTGATCAAGCATAGGACAACAGCACTTTTCTGAAACCGTCTCATCAATTACCCTGATGATTTGAAATTATCGTTATTGATAACTGATTGAGAGCAATTGTCTGATATTCGTTGTCAGAAACCTTTTCATTGCACATTTGTTTGTTCATCAGTTAAGTGTTAAATTCGTTTATTCATAAATTTAGAAATCTTGTTCTGATGAGAATGTGATCATAAAGATGAGTGTATAATTTCTTGCATTTATCAATGGCTAGTCGTTCACAGCAATCACGGATTTTTGATTCGATCAATTGGAAGGATTATCACTCTTTCTTATTTGATCAGCATAATTCTTTGCTCTATGCATTTCTAAACGTGCAGTTATAATCAAATACGATCATTCATAATCAAAAATATGCCACCTAAAATTTCTACCTCTCATCAATTTTTCCTTTCATCTTATCACAGTTCAGCTCGAAGTGATTATCAGTGAATTGGAATGTCGTACGTATGTTTGCACCTCAAATCATTTGCAAGTTCCTGTTGTTCGCAAAGCGTTAACGTATGCAGCAGAAACGCACTTTCCTATCTCTCGCCATTATCATTGCATCGTTGCAATGTGATCCTTATGAAAATGTTCACAATTTTTTCTGTACCAAAAAATGCGCTTGAATTCTACATAATTTCTTATTGTTGTATTGCCAGCATTCATCAGTCAAGTGTGCACAAAGTCCTTTCCATGCACGAACGTTATTTGCGATAAAGAGATGACGTTTCCATTTAGGTTGATGCCAATGATCACATCATGAACCTTTCACTGTTCTGAACAATCATTGAATAAGCACGTTACAATGGCACTGATCATTCATGATTCAAGATCGTCTTAATGAATGTAACGGTAGTGATGTAGATGTGCTTCTCTTTTTTCATTGGCATTATCGTTGTGGTTAGCATATCATAACTGTTGTTGTTTTACAAAGCATTCCTCTGCATTCTTTACAATAGCTTAATTAACTGCGAAAGTATTCATTCTATTTGGATGAATTTCGGATGCAGTATTAAAATTCAGTGCATAAACGTTGATTGTGGGCGAAAAGTTTGTGACTGTTGGAGTTATTATTAGCAGTCTGTACTGTAGGACGTATCGAATTTGACTGTTCTGTTCTCTCTGCCATTTTTGTTGGTTCTATGGAAAGTGCTTTTATGTAAGAAGATAATTCATTTGATTTATAATGCGATTAAGGTTTTTTTCATCGTGTTTATTGCTAGCAGTGCAGAGATCTATGAGTGTTTTATTCGTCTCGAAGGCTCATCAGTTTCTTGATTGTCTTGCTGTTGAGCAACGTGAAAGTCACACTTCCATTCTAACTGCATCATTTTCTTATTATGCTGATGTTCACATATCATAATGTCATTAAATGATGTTGATTGCTTCTTTATGTCAATTCCGCATTACTTACTAATTGTAAATTCTTTATTTTTATCATATCAATAAATCAGTGATAACATGTAAGGCTTTCTCACACGTCATGACTGAGCGAAATGATTTCGATTGCATATAAACAATGATTTTAAATGCAACGACAAGTGATTTTTTTTTCACACTGAAGATTCATTTCTCATCGTTGTAAATTGTCAATATCTCATCATCGTTAGAAATTGCTTTGAGAAATTTAGGATTGGAATGAGTTAAAGAAACGTTTACTTGCAGGATGCGTTTGTGAAGAAAGGTTGATGAATTTTGTTAGTGGGATCTTTGTTCGAATTTTGTTCCGCTTTACATTTTTTTAGAATCGATATGCGATACGAGTAATCCGTAAAAAGTATTCGAGAATGCATCGATGGAAATCAGTTGCGAGCGAGTCAAAATTCTCGATCATCACATCAAAAGTGCATTTCTCGGAATAGTGTGTATATGCATTCGAAATCATTTTCAGTGTCCTTCACAAGTTCATTTCCGTTAATTTAAAATCAATGTTCGAATATGCGCTCAACAAAAAATCGGTCAAGAAATGCCTACGAAAAAAAAGGAAATGCACTGAGTTTGTGGTATTTTAGAGAAATTTCATTGATTTGGCTTACTCTGTAGCAATCATTTTGAGATTAGTATCGATAAAGGAACGAAAGATTGGCCATTGTGCGAATGAACAGTAGAGATACTACTGTTGGTTGTTGCAAACAGCTACTAAGCGGTTAATTTGCCGATTCATGCGATCGACGAAATGTTCGTCATTGTTGCGGCTGTTTAATGGACTGGTATTCGGCTATGTTCAAATATGCAAATTATTTGTGGCAACGGGCATTCGTTACTGCTTGGTTATGTAATGCTTGATACGCCGATTGCTATGGATCTACTCGGTTACATTGGCTGTTTATTACTGATACCGAAAGATTACTGATTTACTACTGTTGGTTGTTCCGAACAGCTACTCTGAACGATCGTTGGACGAATGTTCAATCGATCGATCGGAATATATTTTTGGGTTCCTTTCGAGTCCCTCTCCTTAGAAATCATTAGGCTATATGGGAGAGTAGCCCAAAACCTCTGTGCTTGCCAAATCAATAATCCAACTCAGAATTTCATGAAGACAGATGATTCCCAACGCTATTATCGTTGGCTGCGAGGAAAGAAAAATACTAACGAAAGAAGAATGTGATATTGGTGATATAGTGATATCAATGATATTGGTAATAAAAGAGAGGCACAAACTCGTAATGAGTTGGATTTGCTGACTAAATAAAGGAACGAACAAGTAGATTAGTCGTCTGATGCTGAAAGGATTAAGGTACCGTTCATTTCGCTCCCAACTCATGACTGTTATGATGACCGTTAGGCCACTGCATTGAGATTAGTCGCTCGAAATGTATCTACGAAACTACCTCTAAGGAAGCTACAAAGCAATTCTTGGTTTCAAGGGAGACGAATTTCATTCTTTCGATTAAGGCTAATTGCATCTGCTTTTCAAAACAAATTTCAGTAATGCAATAATCGCAT